CTAAACCTAAAGTAACTCTTGCCTTCCTTGTACCAGGACATACTTACTCAGAGACAATACCAACCAAACCAAAGTCACCCATAGCTGTTCTCTTCTCGCCACTAAGCAGCCCCCCATGTTTCACCACTGGCTTGCCTTCCTCCCTTGGCAAACCCCAGATCTCTCTACAAGACCTCATACTCCTGCGATTTGCAGGTTACAGGGCAACGCCCCAGCTCCGGCCAGCGTCGTTCTGGCATTGGCAAACCAGGGGCACAGAACAGAACAACTCTCGAAACGAGGTTCTGACAACTCTCGAAAGAGTTTTCGGGCCACAACTCTCAAGTGGCTGTGTGGCGACGGCTCCAACTCTTGAAAACCGAGTTTCAAGAGTGGTGTGGCGAGGCCCATAGCTGCGGCGGACTCCCCTACCCGCCAAGCTGGCCAAGCTCTGCTCCCGCGCCAGCAAGAGCAGCCGCCGTGGGCCGCCCGGGACAGCCGGGCATGGCGACCACAGCTTCGGGGTCTCATTCACGTTTTGCTGTTTTGCTACAGGTGTGTGAGTATGCAAATTGCAAAATTGCAGGATTTGCAACGTGTGTGAGTATGCCCTCACCCTGAGTATGAATGTAACTGGCTCTTCTGCTAAGATACACTCATTATGAGGGTGCGTTGTCTTCGGAGGAAGACGGGATGATGTCGGGTAGTAGGCCATAACTCACACTGGGCCTTTTTTACTCATCTCTGGACGTAATGGCGGCCAGATGCATCCCGATCGTGTCAGATTTCCACTGAGATTCATTCATTCATTCAAAGAAGTGCTAGTGGAGAGTCGACCGGCCGGCGCAGAGCGCTCCGCCGTTTCGTCACCGGGCTTGGAGGTCCGGTCTTGCTAGCCACCAGCGTGGAACTCATCCAGGGGAAGTGGCCATCGCCTAGCACCTCGTCCAGCTCCTCTGGACCAACTTACCAATCAAGGCAGGGAGGCATGGAGGCGAGTCAGCAAGTCAGTAAATCATTTTGTTAACATATAATGCGTTCTAAGAGTAATTAGGCATGGCGTTGTAACGCCCTGTCTACCGATGCGTATGCAGGTATTCCTTTTCGACAACTCCCAGGCTCAGTCTAAGCTCCCTTTCTTCACCACTCCTTAACCAACCCGACACACGATCTTAAACTCTTCGGCACACTAATCAACTCAACTCTTCATGCTCCTGTTCACACAATTTCCCCTCGTGATTTAACGTAGACTACCAATTCCTGTGCGCTCTTCAGCATTAACGTACCCAAGTCACGAATTGTACCCACACTCCTCCCCTCACATAATGCGCATATCGGTGACCTCGTACTGCTAATCAAGAAAGCAAACCCCATATAGGGAATACATACCCCTATTCTGCTCTTGTCTCAACACACCATTCTCGCCCTTCAAACCCATAAAAGCCCTTCAAACCACACCTGCTCCTTGCTTTATCCCTAACTTTCTTCTTCAACCGGTATCTCTCAAAACCTCGAAATACCCAGCAGACCCTTTTTTTTTTTTTTTTTTTTTTTTTTTTTCAAAGTCTGCTCTATTCATAGATAACATATGCAGATTAGTTCCTCTCACCACACCACCCGATTCCCACCCATTTTCTCCTCTACTCTAAGTGACAATACGTTAACCCTTTATCCCAACCACCGGTTAAGACAGCCTAACCTGCGCCTCGAAATCTTGTCTCAACTTATACTCCACTCGCTCTCACTGTAGCAAACTGTATTCATAGCCCAGATTCTTCATCCTACGTCTGCTTATTCCCCTCTATACTCAGATTCTTGGACCGACGTCTGCTTATTCCCCACTATACTCAGATCCCAAATCTCCCTCCTCCCAGATTCTTCATCCTACGTCTGCTTATACCCCTTTGTTCTCAGATCCCAAATTCTTCATCCTACGTCTGCTTATTCCCCTCTATACTCAGATCCCAAATTTTCCTCCTCCCAGATTCTTCATTCACGTCCGCTTATACCCAGATTCTTCATCCTATGTCTGTTTATTCCCCTCTTTACTCAGATCCCAAATTTCCCTCCTCCCATAAACATATCCCTCACTTGATATACCCTCTACCGACGTCTATTTCTACCCTATTCCCATCTATCCCATCCTTTCACTAGGCTAGGTTTTGTTGTAACTCCCCTATTTCCACCGCCAACTCCCATGCCCAACACGATCTGTTAGTTTTGCCCTATATTTCATTTCACATTATCTACGTTTTCCCGAAACCACTGCAGATTAGCCCTTTCTCCCGCCCCAGTGCCCCTCCTTCAATCGCCCCATTTGTACTATCAACTCTCAAGTCAACGAACGTGTTCTTTTTCCCCTGTCAACTCTTCTTCCCTGGTGACCTACATCGCAGTCCCACTGTTACCCTCTGCAGACTCTATCTGGTAAAACCTTCGAATCATGTCTACATCAGACACTGGTCAAGGGGTAATACCACCAGCAAGTCAAATGCCTAACCCACAGCCGCAGGCTCAGCCCCAGGCGGCTGACATGTCTCGAATCTCCTGGACAGCTGTTATGATGATGGCATCTACCCAGATGCACCCATTTCACACGGGGAGGTTGAAATCATCGATGGGGTGGGTTACTTAAATCTGAGTGAAGAGATCGATACGGCCACGGTAAACTGGCTGAAAGCCAGAACCGTGATCGTCATTTTTAAGACCAGAGGTGCAAACCTCTCAGTATCGCAGCGGGAATAATTTATCAGAATATACGAAGATGCATGGCACTTGGACCCCAATTTCAATCCCTCACTACGTCGAGGACGCACACACGGAGAGGGACCCAACATAATGTCTTATGTTGCTCGCTCACAGAGAATTGCGGAATATCTCCTGCACAAAGGTCAGGACACTATTCCCTCACGGCAGGGCCCAGTCCACGTGCTCTTCAAGCCATGGATGACCCAACAAGAGCTAGATCACGCTAGAGACCAGGATGCGGCAGGGAAATACCGTATCATTGCCCTATGGGTCCCTTTGAATGCTATGTTCTCACTGCGCCACGCTGTCGAAAATATCATCGCTCCTATTGTTGAAATGCACCCACCTGACAAAAACGATGACGAGCCACGATTGGGTAACATTCGAAAAGACTGCGAGCCGATAGCAAGACAACGGTTTATGGAATGGATTGTTCTCCGCAGGCCCAACGGGCAGCAGCTTCAAGTTCAACTGGCCAACCAGGACACTCCCTTTTGCAGGAAGTGTCTCTGGTGGTACCATGATGAATTTGATCCGGATTGCCACAGATTCAGTGAGCCACTACCTCCTAATCGACGGAGTCAGGGAAGAGGCCGTGGGCGAGGCCCAAATGGCAGGGGAGGACGAGGACGAGGACGTGGAACTCCAAATCAGACTACACAACCAAGCTCTGCTGCGGGACCCGCTTCTACAGGTCCCCTCCAGGGCTTAACCAGACCACAGGGCGTGGCTCCTCTCCCACTTGGCCCAGCCCCACAGACTGTATCCATCACAGTACCAACAGTGGTTGGAACCTCTGCACTTGCCACTGTTTCGGCGAGTGCCACACCAGCAGGGCCATCAGCCCCTCGTCCCCACATGGGTTCCCAACCAGTCCAGCAGTCAAATTTTCCCCCCGTTGCTTATCCACCACCTCCCCTCCCCCACGCTCCTTTGTATGGATCTTCTCAGAACAGGTTACCCAACCCACTCACAAATGCTCAACCACTTACCAATCAAGCCATCTCACCTCTTTCCGGTCTGCTGTCTTCCCCCCCTCTCGTCTCCATCAGTCACCCCCGTGGCCCCCCTCCCCTTCTCCTCCCAGCACAAGCACCAGGCAGACCTTCAAATGCACATACTTCAGCCCCCCCGCTTGATGTAGCCCACCAAGCACCACACTTGAACCCCAACACACAGTCCCACCATATTATCCCATTCCAGGCCCAGGGGTCTCACCCCCCTGGACTCTTCCAATCACAGTACACCACATACAACAACCCCCACTTCATGCCCAATCCCCCACATCCGCTGATGATCACCCACGCCATGGATCATCCCTCAGGGTCCCTCACTCTGCTTCCCTCCGCATCGACCCTCGCCGCCCCATCCGGAGTCCGCCGCCTGAACATTGATGATCACCATCAATCGGAGATCACCATGCGGGACGCAAGACAATCTTCTCGTACCCCGATGAAGCAACGGCGAATAAATCTGGAAGGAGCAGGTGAGGTGACTTGCGAAGCGGAAGAGGAAAACCTGGAGTTTGCGATCCTGCCCAGAGTCCAATCCTTAGGCCCTCATGCTACCACTCTTGCTAACCATGGAGTTCAACTCTTACCTGACAGAATCACGCTACAGTCCTCCACCAGCAGAATAGCCAGTTCTGCAGTAAGACACCAGATGGTCCTACTGATCTATATGCTCACACCGCAGGGTACGAAGTTCATGGCAAAACGAACCGATAAGGGAGTACTAGCTATCCCCACCATTGAGGCTGCTTCCTCTCCCACCACCAAGGATGCACTTATAGCGGTGGCCTCAGTCTTTATTGACGAACGCTTCCCTTTCAGACTCGTGCCAGGCATTCGTATTGGACGAAAATCTGTTGCAGCTGCTTCGGGGGGTAGTTGGCACTTCCACATTGGATCTCTTGACGCTAAGATCAACCTTGATACCGCTGCACTGCTCGCCACTCAGGGAGTTGTTTGGCTTCCCTCTACTTGGCTGGCGAAAGGGCACACAGATGATTTGAAGGAAGCATGGTTAACAGACGACGTCGATGCCACTTTGGTAGCTGACTTTTGCTCCACACTGGCCACAGACAAACAGCCACACTCAGTTGGCTTTCGTAACCTCCTCCTAGCCCCGTGGGCTGCGCCAGCAGAAACAGACCAAGCCCGCAGACAGCGCACTCAACGCCCGCATCCAGAGGAAGACCAAAAGCGGATCCAAGTTCCCTCCGCAGCCAGCAACGAAGATGAACAGGTGTAGAATGGCTACATGGAACGTGCATGGCCTGGGAGATACCTCAGGCCGTCACAGGAAGGCACGCCTGAAGACCTGGGTCCATGACAATGGCATCCAGATCTTGATGTTGCAGGAAACGAAGTTGGACGAAGCTAAATTGGATCAGATCTCAAACTGGTGGAGAGGCGAACAGTTTTGGTCCCCAGCTGAAGGAACACGTGGGGGCGTAGCAATCCTCATTCACCGCAGCCTACAGCTTGAAATCCTAAACGCTGAAGTTGACCTGTGGGGATGCTGGGCTTGGGTCCAGGTCCAGCTCGGTGAACAGCAATGGACAATCATGACTGTGTACGCTCCATCTGATCCTGTAGAGCGAAGAGGCTTTTTGGAGGAGCTCCCGCACGTGGTACCCCCGGCGCAGAACATTGTTCTAGCTGGGGACTTCAATCTGGTGTTGCAACCTGGTCTTGACTCCCCTGCCCCAACTCCACGGAAGTTGGATGCACAGATGCTGCTCAGGTTTATGGAACTCAACGAATTCACAGATGCCTACAGGAGCACTCATCCCACAGTTCACGGTTATACTTGGCACTCTTCACAAAGAACCGGAGATGCTCCACCTCCCAAAAGACGCCTGGACCTCCTATTAACTAAAGGGGCAGCATGGGAATCACTTACAACAGCAGAGGTCATGATCACACCGGGCTCGGATCACAGACCAGTGGTGGCAGACTTTCTACTTGAAGGTCAGTTGCAGCGAGGCCCAGGTATATTCAGACTTAATATCGACCACCTCAACTCACCGGAGCTACTGCAGTGGGTTGCCAACCACTGGCAACATTGGCAGTCCACCAGGGATTGGTTTGACACCGAAGAAGAATGGACAGCTGTAGGTTTCAGAATCGTGACGCGGGCCCTGGATGTCTTTTCGTGCATTCAGGCAAGAGGGCGGAGGCAGCAAGAGGACGAGTGTCTGGCTCATGTAAAGGAAGCGGAGGACATGCTAGAGACAGGTACCATCACAGAGCTCTACTGGCTTCACAGGCGTGACAGATGGTTGTCGAAATGGGACGACCTGCAGATTGAACAGCAGATCAGCTGGGCAAACAAGGCCAAAGAAAAAGGTAGTATTACGGCTGATCGAATGAGTAAAGAGACCTTCCAGAGAATCTATCCCCGACAGACCCACACAATGATAAGAGAACTGCAGCATCCTTTCCACGCGGAAGCTGACGTCGCAACAGATTCAGAGGCCATCGGGGACTACGCAAGACAATATTTTGAAGACATCTTAACTTCGCGCAGACCTCCGGATCAGTCTCTAGGACAACTGCGGGAAGAGAACGACCTGTGGAGCAACACAACAACGCAACTCTCCTCAGAAGCCAGGGATCTACTGGAGCAGCCAATCACAATGCCTGAATTATGGGCGGCAACTAAAGCCATGGCAAAGGGGAAGAGTCCTGGCTCAGATGGGCTGCCTGTTGAGTTCTATATCGCGTCGTGGGAGCACGTGGGGCCAATCCTTCTGAGACTATTCAACAGAATTGTGGAGGGAGGTACACTCACTGAGGATATGAAATTTGGGGTTATCACCTTGTTGTACAAGAAGGGAGACAAGCGCAACGTTCGTAACTGGAGGCCCATTAGTCGCCTGAATGTCTCATACAAGATCTTGGCCAAAGTACTTGCCAGAAGACTGGCGCCGTTCCTACCGAACCTCGTCCACACTGATCAAGGAGCTTTTGTCCAAGGAAGCTCCATCTTCGAGAATGTTCTTGCGGCTATGGGCGCCCTCGAGATCATTCAACGAGAAGACCGGCAGGTCATGGTGGCCATGCTCGATCTTGAGAAGGCATACGACCGGGTCAACTGGTCGTTAGTTCTCGCAACACTCCAGCACATGAACTTTGGTCCAAAATACTACAGATGGGTGTCCGAATTATACACAGACTCGACGGCAGCGGTGCTTGTGAACGGCTTCGTCTCCCCGATCTTTACTCTCACTCGCTCTCTGCGCCAGGGTTGCCCATTGGCGTCCCTTCTGTTTGCCATTCAGATGGAGACACTACTCAACTCGTTAAGGGCGGCACCACAACTTCAAGGTTTGCAAGGTGACCAGTTGCTGACGGGCGCCATTGCGGATGACCTCCTGCTGGTAACAGAGGCAACTCCTGACTCTTTAGTGGCACCGAAGAGTATCCTGGACTCATACTCTCAGCTCTCTGAGGCGCAAGTTAATTGGAACAAATCTGTCTATTTCTTACCTGCTCGGTATGAGTCACAAGGTCACACTTGGGGCATGAAGAGAGTACCAATTCAGACATTTGAGCGGTACCTGGGTATCCAAGTAGCACTGTCTGATGCCAGATCGGACCAACATTCAATCCTCGCTGCCAAATCCAAGGCTGTGCTCAGCCGATGTAGGGCAGCGGTGGGAGTATCCCTTTTCGGAAGGGCTTATCCTTATTACCTCGACAGTCTTTTCTCAGATTTGGTATACCGCTGCAGTGATGCTGATTTCCAAGACTACTCTAAGAAGTATTCGATCTGATGCAGCTAAATACCTCTGGAAGCCGAAGGCGGAGAATGACGAAGGCTTCATCACAAAATGTGCTTGGACAAAGGTCTCGAGACCTCGAAGAGAAGGGGGCTTAGGTATCCTAGATCCTGAAGCCCARAACCTTGCCCTCCTTGGCAAGTGGTTCTGCAAAGTAGCTCTCCMGTTTGACAACAGGGCATGGATTGCAGTATTGGAATACATCCTGCAGCAAGACTTCGGGCTTTCTCGCAAGGAAGACGTGTGGGCCTGTATTTTCATGTCATCTTTTACGCGCCGCCAGCCTTCATCGGTTCTGGCCACTGCAATCTGGACAGCCTGGAGAGCACTCCAGCCCCTCCAGCTGAAGACCCCGGTAACACGGGAAGAAGTCATGCAGCAGAATCTATTCGATAATCAAGCTATCATGGACGACAACGACCAGCCCTTCCAAGCAACGAGATCCCGTGGTTCCTTCGGCAGACCCTGGATCGAGAGGGGAGTGAGCCATGTTGCAGACATTTGGGACGAAGACGAACAAGAATGGGCCTCAAAAGATGTGTTAAGATCTAAACTTAGACACTTGCCGCATGTGAACCAACGCAGGCAACAGATCATTCAAGCAATACCGGCTAACTGGAAACTACTGTTGCAAAGTGCAGACCCAATAGAAGGCGAATGGTACTCCACAAGCCTACCTGGACATCAGACAGAACAGGTGGTGCAAATCTCCCAGAGTCTGGGGGATGGGCTCTGGCTTGCGAAGCACTGGTCAAGACAGGATCACTCAGGGCAGCTCCCCCAGCTCTCATCACCCACTGACCTCTGCATCAACGATCAACAGCCTCTTCAACTCATTAGAGTCCACTCATCGTCACAGGGATCTGAAGCCCCGACTCACCGATTGTTGAAAAACGGAAGACCCGTCAACACTTTCAAGATCGATCCAATGGGACACAGCCGGCGATCGTCAAGGGGTAAACAAGTCTTCCTTTTTCAATATTCATCCAAGGTGGGAAGGAGCATTATGTCCAAGGAAGTCAATCTGCCCGAAGAAGCAGCAAGAAGACTCAACAGACTCCTGCGATCACAACCGAACCTGCAGCAGAACCTGCAGCCAGGAGACTTAACCCAGCTGTGGGATCAGTTGACGTCTCTACCCTCTCAAAAGCTCTCCGCCCTTGCGTGGTTGCTCTCCCATGTGTCCATTCCCTGCGCCACTTGGTTATTTGAGAAAGGGATGGATATTCCTACTAAATGCCTCAGATGTGGAGGGCGGGCTGAGGAAACATTGGAACATCTTATCTGGTCTTGTCCAGCTTCCCAAAGGCTGTGGACATGGTGGGGTAATCATTGGACCAAATTCGTGGGGTCGTTGCTGTCATGGGACGCAGGTTGGGCGCTCCAGGGAAAGATCCCGCCCTCTTGGTTCAAACATGTGGGCAGGGGCTACGTGGCCCAGGCCATTCGCACAATTCTGCTCTGGGTTATATGGGAGGACAGGAACAATATCTTGTTCAGGCAGGAGTGGACTGGGGATTTAGCAGTCATCAACAAGATCAAGGCTTGGATCAGAACGATGACAAGGGTGGATTGGATCAGAAAGGCCAGAAGAGGCAGCACTCCTCGGGGCGGACATTGGTTCTTGGTTACTTGGGCTCGTGACAACCAGCTGGCGGCCATATCACTGACAGGGCAGTTGGTTATCTCTCCATGGCTGAGCTCCTAGCTTAGCATTTCACTTCTTGCCTTTCCTTCTTTCTCCCCCCTCCCTCTTATCTTCTCAATCCATGTTTTACCCCTTGGGGCGGGGCAGTCCACTTACCAGGGCACTCGGTTTCTTCGGGCCACAGTCGGCCACCAGCAGGGTAGCTGAGGGGAGGAGGGAGGAGAGTGTCAATTACGAATGGGAGCCTCACAAAGGCACTGGCTCCAACCCCCAGGATTTAGGCGGGTTTCAGGCCGTACATAGGCCTGTGAAGTCCTACAGCTCTTGCAGACAGGTCTTGTAGGCTGTATTAGCAGATAGACAGTAGGAACAGGAAGTAGAATAGTCTAGCAGTGTTTTTCCCTCATCTATTTCCTCTTCTTCTTTACCTGCCTTCTCGCCAACTTCATCTTTACACCCTCTTTATGCTTTTTTTATTTCCCCCATCAGGGGAACTACCAACCTTCTCCGTCAGATTTTGCTTCCCCCACTCCTGGCTTCCTCCACCTTCTCCCACTACTCTTCTAAAGCTCCTTACCTTCTGATCATCTCACACCCCTTCCCTTTAGATAACACGGTACCTTGTCATCCTTTCCTCATTGATACATCAGTAGATACAGAAGAGTTCTTAAGACACCTAAACAATTTAGTACAGATGTTTCTCGGGTCTTACTAGTCCCGTCAAAAGCGAAGCTGGCTAAAGCTGCCAGAGGAGACAAACCGGGTTGAATTGTGGGGACCCCGGC